TGTCATAAACCTGACCAAGTGTGTCATAAACCTGACCAAGTGTGTCACAAACCTGACCAAGTGTGTCATAAACCTGACCAAGTGTGTCATAAACCTGACCAAGTGTGTCACAAACCTGACCAAGTGTGTCATAAACCTGACCAAGTGTGTCATAAACCTGACCAAGTGTGTCATCGTTAACAATTGTGAGATATCTTTATTTGTGAGGCATCGTGGTGAAATCAGGCGCTCGTCAAAATAATGAAATCAAAGAAATAAGCGGGGTTGTTGTTGTTTGTTTTGTTGTTGTTGTTTGGTGTGTTGTTGTTGTTTTTTTTGGGGGGGGGGGCGATAGGCAATTTTTTTTTCTCTAATTTTCTGTTTTTGGCTCAACACCTGTAATGTCCATTTAAAAACACAATTTTGTGTAGATTTTTACTGAAAAACGTAGATTAAAGGCACATAAAATGTACATTTTCAGTTTCCACAGACGTTGTGTTGCACAAGGATGGCTCGTTCGAGATGGCTTTAAGATAAGAAATGGGAACTTCACAGTGACGTTAAAGATGGTTCCAGAAGGGAACGGAATAGAGGGTGCCCACGTCCCTTGTGACTCATTGGAGAAGAGGAAGACAGGACTAACGCTTACATTACTTAAACGCAATCCCACACCATCATTCATCACCACCGTTATTTCTAAAAGCATCACTGCTCTCAGACCAATGACTTACATCTATTTTCCTTCAATATCTATCTGTAACAGTTACTTGTCTTACTAAGTATGTACGTGATGCATTATTGGGCACTACCATACCCACTTTTTTCTACTAAACAGATGGCGTCATTCTCATATAAATAGGCAAATGATTTTAAATAAAAGATAAATCCTGAAACACAGTCTTTCTTTCTTTCTCTTTGGCGCTTAGGGCAAGAAAAGAATTTAAAAATGCAAATTGAGTGCACAATCTAGTTTTTCTCTTTCTTTCTTTCTTTCTTTCTTTCTTTCTTTTTGTCTGTCTTTCTTTCTATCCGGCTCTTAACAAGAAGAGAAATAAAGCAAATTGCGTACACAGTCTTGTTTTTCTCTTTCTTTCTTTCTTTCTTTCTTTCTTTCTTTCTTTCTTTCTCTTTGGCGCTTATGGCAAGAAGAAAATACATAAGGCAAATTGAGTGCACAGTCTTGTTTTTATCTCATCAAATGTGCGCAGGTAAGAAAAGATGAAAGCAACATATCGTAAATAAACACCTGACGCCTTTCAAGCATGAAACACACACATAAAACACTTTTATGATAATCTGTGTTGCGATTGGGTGGAATCAGCCGATCGTAAATTATAGGCGTGTGACGGTATAGATGTAATCTGAAAGCCTAATCGTTCTCCTTGCTTTAGATGAAAAACTAACTATTCATCTTAAATAGTAGAAGTAAAGGTATTTGTGACTGAAAGAGGTGTAAGGTGGGGGGGG